TTATTTCTTTTTTTCTCACGTACTAACGAATATTTTTTTTGTTGAAATTAATTTAAATTAATTTATAATATTTAAATTTTAATAAAAATTAAATTTTTATGATATTTTATTTGTTCTAATTGTTAGTTACTACCGAGAATATCATAAATTTAAAAACTAAAAAAAAATTATTAATTTTGAAAAATAATAATAAACTTAGCAATGGATTAGCGTTGAAATTTTTTTACATTTCGCAATGAAAATTGCAATGGAATAACGACAACAAAATTAGCTTTGGATATTAGCGACAAAATATTGATTGTTAATTAACGATGAATTTAGCGACAAAATAGCGATGAATTATTTGGTGGGAAGACGATAGTTCTAGTGACCAATTAGTGACAAGCATATCAACATTTAGTGACAAAAAAACCATCGCTAAGTTAGCGACGGTAATGTTCGTCCGTTGCTAGGGTTAGTGACAAGCATTTTAACGATAGATTTTTTTTTGGTTACAATTCTGTTGCCAAACATTTTTAGCAATGGATTTGCACTTAATAACGACCGATTTTTCTATCACTAAATGACGGTTTTCTTGTAATGGATGTTACCCGAGTGCAGGAGGTGTCACTAAAAAAAGTGTTATCAAGTCATTACCTATAACAATAAAATTTTTGGTAAATAGCAATAGTTATTTTTTGTTCATATAAAAACAAATCACTATGGATTGAGACTTAATTGTAATAAGAATTTTACTGTGTCTTGTTGTATTTTTGTGATTTTTATGTTATTTTAAGGTATTTTATATGCAATTTTTTTTGTGAATATTGCACTTTAGTTTCTAATTTTCTAAAAAAAAAAAAAAATTCAATTCTAAACTTTATTTGTGGTTTGGTCCCTAGTTGTAGGGAGAAAAGAAGAACGACGACATTGAAGGTAAGAGATAGGAAGTTACGGCGAAGCTTATTTAAGCCACTTTGACTTTTGATCTTGCCTTCAATTTATTCACTTTAGAGAAGAGAGTTTATTTATAATGATCACAAGTCAGAAAATAATTAGAAGAGGTAGATCAAAACCCTTCAATATTTTAGATTTTTTAGTTTAATTTGAATTTTTATGTCTTTTGTGTATATTGAAATAAATTTTAAGATTCTAAACTAGTTTAATGACCTTATTTTTATGTTTTTGAAGTGTTTTTACTGAATTTGGATTGGAGAACCCAAAAGCTCGGACACTTGATTTTTTGGCAAACTCTAATTTGTCGAGAATTATAGTCGAATGGCAAGTCGTCTGCTCGCACAAAGAGCCAAAAACGTATCATCTTTTTTTTTTTTTTTTTTAAGTTGCTTGTGTGGACTTGGTTCTCGAGGCCCAAGCTCCCAAGCCTTCACCTTAGCCGGGTTCTTTTTCTTTCTTTTTTTAAGGTGGGTTGCACTTGTTCTTTCTCTTATTATGGATTTTTGGCAAAAAAATTATGGAAGATCGATCGTTATTTTTTGGATTTCTTACGTAGCCTTACAAGAAAGAAATATATATGATATACTTTATTTTTTAAAATAAACATATATTTTAGATCATATTACTCTTATTAATAGAAATTTATTTTTTTAATTTGTCATTTCTTATGAAAATTCTCATCCAATTATTTTTTATTAAATTTTATTTTTTGAAAAATATGATTTATTTTTCTCTATATATGGATTGTGGAATAAATTTTGAAACATGATTATTTTCTCACTTTTAATATATATATATATATATATATATATATATATATATATAAATTTGTCTAAGATTTTTAGGTAATTAATAATTAAAAGTCGAACATAGGAAAAAAAGAGAGAAGAAAAATAATTGCTTTACATGTGATATCTATGCATGAGAACTAGCCATGTATACCGGAGAAATAAAAAAAAATTATGTAAGAAGGGAAAAATGAATTCATGTGTTTTATTTTCTTATTATTTGTATAATTAAAATTAATTTTGTTGTAGTTTTTATTTTAGTCTATTAGCTTCAAATTTGTTCAATATATTTGTTACAAGTTAATTGTTTTTTTAATAATTTTTATTTTATGTTGCAGACTTTAAACTCCCTCGATATAGTTACGATGTATAAAAAAAATATCGAATTGCTCATTTTATTCAAAATTAATTATGTAATTACACATAAAACACCAACTCTTTACTATGTGTTTATTTTTAAATATTCTAAAATTAATTTCTTTTAAATAAAAAAATCAATATTATGTTTTGGCAAAAGCACCCATTGATTCAAATATGGTTTTTTAATGCTAATATTTTTTGTTATTTTGCAAATAAATATATGCAAATCAAATGTACATACTTTCTAAAAATAATCTTCTCTTCAACATTAAATAAGAATTAAAAATAATTTTTTATTTGTTTATTTTTATGCCAGTATTTACATGAATTGTTACTTTATTTTTTCGACACGATCGAATGAAAAAAAATACTAAGGCTTTTTTATTTTGTATTAAATTTTCTTTTTAGATTATGATAAGTTTTTAGTTAAGAATACATGAAAAAAAAAGACTAAATCATGTTTTGTAATAGAAAATTTATGAAAAACATAAGGAAGAAATAGTTAAACATAAAATTTTGATCAAAAAATTATAAAATTATATGACAAATTTTTTTTTTTTTTACCTTTGATTTGATATATTTCGGTAGACCTACAAGATTAAAATAATTTTTAAAAATAATTTCTGCTATTATGTTTGATTTGTAGTGTAATGCAGGAAAAAAATTCGTAAAGATATTATTTGATAAAGATGAGTTCGCTAACTGCACACTACTCCGGAACAGGCCAAGTAGCATTTAATATGTTTTCTTTTACCAAATAATTTTCCAATATGTAAATGATGATGGAACGAAGTCCATGGATACTCAACATATCACTTAGTAAATAGTTTTTGATATACCTCTCATAATAATGATATGTGTCTTCATGCTTAATTTAAAGATTGTTCGATAAAAAATTCACCTCGAATAGAATAATTTTGATCAATTATCAGTAGCCATCATGTTTGGACAAGACTCGACCAATCAGTACAAATAGATAGTTTGAATAAAAAAGATACTTTTAACTTATTTAGAAGACAAAGAGAACAAGATGTGACTTCTTAAAATGTTACTGTCACATAATTACCAACCATAACTACACAAATGCAGTCAAATAACGACCATCATCTAAAAGAGTCCTAAATCCTCAAGTGAATGTCTTGAAGCATAGTATGCAAAAAAGAAAAAGTGTTTAACTGATTTTTTTAATCCAATTTTGAATTAACAATTCATATCTAAATTAATGTATTTATAATAAATAATGAATAAAATAACTAAACCTATTCTAAACTTTAGTAGATTTAAAAATTAGTTCTTGAAATTTTAATTGTGTTTTGACTTTTCGAAACCTTATTATTATTATTTTTTAGATTTAATCCATCTTATGATTTTTAGTTATCACTCTTTCTCTCTAAAAAATTTAATTCTTGATATTTTGATATGAAATTTTGCATACATATACGTATTAGAAAAAATCCAATTCATTTTCTAGAAAAATTTCAGAATTTTTTAAAATTGAAATTATTATATTTTTATTTTTTAAAAATTAAAAACGTAAGAATAGAAAAAAATAAAAAGCAATCTGGAATGATCTAATTTTTTTTTTTTTGAAGAGTTTTAGATAAATTTCATCCAATGATTTTCATCATGTGGCTATTTATATAATTATTATGTTTTTGGGATAAATGATAGAAAGTTGAAGAATGGACAAAATCTCAAAAAAAAAAAAAAAAAAATTCAAATAAGTAAAAACACAAATTAAAATTTTAAAAACCCATTTGCAAATAGTTTAAAATTGAAAGAATATTTGACAGCCATAAATTATTTTTCTTGTACCTTATCAAGATTCGAACTTAAATGATAATGTAGAAATAAAAAACGCTTACCAACCACGTTAAACTTCTCTTGAAAGATAATATGGCAAAGATGTACGCTTGGCATTCATCCTAACTCTCTAATTATTATTTTTACTCGTTGCTCCTTTTTTATTCATAAAGAAATATAACTATAGTTTTCTTCCTAAATCCCACTCTATTCTTTTTAGAGTTTGAACTTACACTATTTAATAAAAATCCTAAATTTTTTTACACAATCATTTAAAAAGAAATTCTATTATATTTATAAACAAATCATAAAAAACTTTTATACAAATATGTCCATTATCAACTAATTATTTAATATTTTTGAGACTCATAATTCATTAATTCTCACTTGCTACACGTATTTGTATTTGTTTATATGGAGTTTTCGCATGACTTTTTTTATGTGCATAGATAGCATTTCCGTGGTCTATTTCTTAAATAAAAAACAAACAATTTATGCTAATATTTTTTTTAAAAAAAAACTAATACATTAAATGATGAATGATTATAGATTTCGAAAATAATAAATGATAGATTAAGTACTAATAAATTTCTCATTCGACGGTAGTGAGTTTTTTATACTTATAAAAAAAATTATGAGTTTAAATACTCCATGCTCAAATATTTTTTTCTTTTTATTGAGTATTTAAATTTTTAAAAAAATTCTATTATAAGAGAAAATTAAAATAACACTTTTACAGTAGTGGCCAATTCAATCCATTGTAATAATGTAATTCTATTTTTTTCCCCACTAATTATTAGCACTAACTCTTTTTTATGCAAAAAGAAAAAAGAAAAAAGAAAGAAGAAAAGGGTGATCTGCCCCGAAAGCCTCGCAGATCCGTTTTACATGCGTTTTCACTTTTCAGACAAACAAGACCTTTCTTAATAGACAAAACCAAAAGGTCAACGTAAAATTATAAGGTAATTTTGTTCTAATTAATTATTATTTTCCTTTCGTAAAATAGCGCACAGCAAATACCAGAATTGGCCAGGTCCAAAAACAACTGCACATTCTTCTGCTTCTGGAGAAATAAACAGGCAAGGCACACAGAAAGACACAGGAAAAAAGAAAATGGAGTTTGCAGAGTTAAGAAAAGCAATAGAGAAGGTGGGATTAGTAGACGCTCATGCTCACAACATTGTAGCACTCCATTCTTCATTTTCTTTCATCAATGCCTTCACTGAAGCAACTGGCACCGGTGCCTTGTCCTTTGCTCCTCACTCCCTCTCCTTCAAGGTACCCCTACACACAAATGACACATAAAATCTATATGTATGTCTTTCTTTATGGAACCATAATAATAATAATGGATTTGCTTTGTTTTGTGGCAGAGAAATCTGAGGGAGATTGCGGAGTTGTATGGCTGTGAGAATTCTTTGAAAGGTGTTGAAGAATATCGCAGATCATCAGGGTTGGAACCCAGTGGCTTGAAATGCTTTGAAGCTGCGAGAATATCTGCTGTATTGATTGATGATGGATTGAAGTTGGATGAGAAGCATGACATTGAGTGGCATAAGAGTTTGGCTCCTTTTGTTGGTCGAATTTTGAGAATTGAAACCTTCGCTGAGGAAATTCTTGATAGTGTGAGATACTTTTATTTTGAATTAAATTAACGTTGACAGTATTTAAGTTGGTTGGTGATATTAATTTTTTGTAGCTTTCATGGTTGTTGGGGTTAGACCTTTTTGTTTTAATTGTGGTTATGTATTATGAAGCAGACATTAATATCTAGGCCAATGAGGCATTAATATAACCTAGAGTTCAGTTTTGATCTACAGGTAGAAACTACTAATGACCCATTACTGGTTTCTTTAAAATTTTCTGTTCTCTGATTATTATTTTGTTTTCTTTAAATCACTCACCTACATTTTTGTTTTGTTTAATGAAGTAGTACCATTATTTTATTTGTTGACAAGTCAGCATTTTTTATCTATGATCCTTTTAATTTCATGGCCTTATGATGCTGCTCTTTTATTCTGTGCTTTTACAGGAGATGCCAGATGGTTGGACACTGGACAAGTTCACTAAAGCTTTTGTTGGAAAATTGAAGTCATATCCTTTTATTTAGTTGTGGATATTTTTGTGCATATACTCTTGTTTGTTTTATTGGTCAATCCTTCTGTCGTTTATTAAGTTAGTTCCTTACAATCTATCACAGTTGCTGATAAGATAGTTGGTTTGAAAAGCATAGCTGCATACCGCAGTGGTCTAGAGATCAACACAAATGTTGCCAGAAAAGATGCTGAGGAAGGACTGACTGAAGTTTTACACAGTGAGTGTGAAATGTGGATTGGCATTTTTTTTCCTACTATTATTGGATTTAATAATTGATCAATTTTTCTTTGCAGCTAGGAATCCTATTCGAATAGCAAACAAAAGCTTTATCGACTATATTTTCACGCTTAGTCTGGAGGTTGCTCTAAGCTTTAACTTGCCGATGCAGATACACACTGGGTAAAAGAAATTTTTAGCTTACTAGTTGCACTTATGGTCTGATTATTTCTGGGAAGCATGGGAAAGGAACTGGAAACCAGACTTCAGTCTGAAGCTGACTGTTGTCTATTTATTTATTAGATTAGTGATGAATCGACAAAGGCGGGACACGAACCTGAGACCTCGCTCTCTTGCTTTGCAAGAGTACATTGAACTAAAGCCCACGTGAAGCTGAATAGTTTTAATTTTGAAGTGTTTGTTAAGAACCTGATTCGTGCAAGTATTTCCATGTGAATTCTAATGGTCATAACTAAATAGTTTGAAGGCAACAATTAGTTTCTGTGGGGGTGGGATGGATTCAGCTTGATCCGTGTGTAAGGATTCCCACTCAAGAGCTATGATCATTATTTTCCTTGCCCTATTTGTAGTTAAGACAGGGAATTGGTCATCTAAATGCTCTTTCTGTATTACTGTTTTCTTTTTTTCTTTAATCTATTAAATAACTCTCCTTTCCCAAATTTAGTTTTGGAGACAAAGATTTGGATTTACGGTTGTCCAATCCCCTTCATCTTCGAATGGTTCTCGAGGATGAGAGATTTTCCAATTGTAGAGTTGTTCTTTTACATGCATCATACCCATTTTCAAAGGAAGCATCCTATCTAGCCTCTGTTTATACCCAGGTGAAATCATTAGTCTCCAGTGAATTCGTTTATTTTCTATACATGTAATTACGATGCTTGCCAGCAAATTTCTCTTGCAAATGATTCAATGCTTTTACTTTTAGGTGTACCTTGACTTCGGCTTGGCTGTTCCTAAACTTAGTGCCCAAGGCATGATATCTTCTGTCAAAGAACTTTTGGAATTAGCCCCAATAAAGAAGGTGACAACAGTCTCTATTGAGAAAATACAAAAAGAAAGGATTCTGTACTTAGTGATTAGTTTACAGATTGAGAAAATTTTTATCTTAAATGAGTTTTATTTGCAGTTCCTGCTAGAAGATATCTGCATTTTATTTTAAAGCAGTCTCAACATAATTTAACTACTTCCTTTTATTTTATACAAACAGCACTATTGTTATTATTGGGAGCGGAGCACTATAGTTTCTTCTGTGCGCACATGTATAGCTTTTCATGATGCAATTGGCTTTCACGTATTTTAAAATACACCCCCCCCCCCCCCCCCAGTATTTATAAATATGTTTTAAGAATTCAGACTTGATTCTGATAGATTGTTCTTTACCAACGATGTCCGTGAAGTTTCTTTATACCAATGATGTTTGATATCGATATCAATGAACTTGCAGGTTATGTTCAGCACCGATGGCTATGCATTTCCTGAAACTTACTACTTAGGTTTGTTTATTGTCTTGTGAATGGATAATTGGACATGTATCCAGTCTTGATAATAATGCATGTTATTCCTGAACTTTCATTGATCTTTAAATCCGTTTGTGGTTTATTTTGTATGTGTTCTGCACTGACTATAAGTAGTAGATGGACTGTTCTTTTTGTGTGTGATGATGTTGGACTGTTGGCCTAATTTCCTAGGGTTACCATACTTCATCAATTTTTCTATCTATACATACAGACAAAAATAGCTAATTTAGCATCTAAACTGTGTCTACCTATGGTTACATAAGATGCAAGTGCTATACTAGACTTCTATAGCAACTGTGTTAGTGTATATTATCCTGATATTTCATAATTATCGTTGCATATTTCTCTACCTCTACATGACTAATGTTTCATATACTGTTACTTCATCATGGTGGAGGTGAAAGCTATGCACATTTCAAAAAAGTTCACATGGTTAGGGATTTGTTCTTGTATAACTTAGGATCAGTCTTCCTTCAAGAAAAGGGAAGCAAAGGCTTCTGTTTCCTTGGAACATTTCTGCATGTGATATGCTCCCATGTTAGTGGAGTAATTGGTCATAGATGCACACATCAGTGTCAAATTAGTTTGTAGAAAAATATGTATGTGGAAGAATCGATGGGGTGTCTGTATTATTTTGGTTTGGTAAATTATGATGTTTGAAAGACTAATTTTCACCTTCTAATAAAATTATGGAGTTGCTATGTTTCCTGGAAGCATTATATATATATAATCATTTAAAATTATTGCTTCATGTTTTTCAGGTGCAAAGAAAGCACGTGAATGTTTATTTTCTGTTCTACGCGATGCATGCATTGATGGTGATCTCACATTAGCTGAAGCTATTGAAGCAGCTAAAGACATTTTTGCTCTAAATGCAATTAAGTTTTACAAGATTAATGTAGATGCAAACGCTTTTAATTCAAAGGATACTATTTCTGAAAACTCTGTGAAGATTGAGAGTAGAGCTCCAGAAAATAGCAGTTCACTTGTTCGTATCATGTGGGTGGACGCTTCTGGACAGCACCGATGCCGTGTAAGTTGTTTTCTTTTTAAATTTGGACTTTTGATAGTTCTTTACCGTAGCTTGGTTCTGCCTTTGTTGTGAGTCCATGGGCGAATTTTTTAATGGAGCATAGGAAAGAATTGTAAACTTCCTTTGGTGTGTCATGTATGGGAAAATTTGAAATTGTTCTCGACTTCACAATGAGTCTTCTGGCATAGTTAATTTTATAGTTTTAATTTTATGTACCTTTTCAGGCTGTTCCAGTAAAGCGCTTCGATGACATTGTTGAGAAGAATGGTGTCGGTTTGACTTATGCATCTATGGGGATGAGTTCAGCTGCTGATAGTCCAGCAGATGAGAGTGGTCTTACTGGAGTGGGCGAGATCAGACTAATGCCTGACATATCAACAAGAAAGAAAATTCCATGGTACTATTTCTACCTCTGACATTGTCACTGATGTTTTATGTCGTCATGCATTTCCATCTGCTTTCTGTTTTTTAAATTTTCATTTGCAACTACAACACGTCAATGTGCTTGTAAACGATTGGTGCTCGAGGCCTGAGTACAAACCAGATCATGCATCTGACTGAAGCCTGCCAGAAAGACCAATCTATGCTCTAGCTTTACGTTTTTTTCACATTAGCAGATCTCTAGGCGAAGGTGCCTCACTTGTGTACTTGAGTACCGGATACTTGTGCTTAACTTCTACCGACTTTGGCCACAAAATATAAGGTTATCCTTAGGGGAGAAAAGTTAGTTTTCTATTTCTTAAAATAAAAGAATGTTTTAATAGAGATGAAAGAGTTATATGATGAATTTGGTGAGCAGGACATCCTCCAGCAAGGGAAAGGGGAAAAAAATCAAGAAGAGAGATGTAACATTGGATATCAGACAGGGAAACAACCCTAGAAGCCCTCAAAAAGCTGCACCACAGAGCCGCAAGGCGCTATCCTATGTCCTATCACACAAAAGGACTGCAGGAATTAAAACTAATGTGCTTTCATCCTGGATAAACAGCATTAACAGCTGTCTTTCTCATATTCTAGAACTGTTGTTGTGGTTGTCTCACTTCTCCATTTCGTTTGAGCGACCACCTTAGATCCCTGCAATATACAATATTAAATACCTAAAAAGAAAAATACTATTACTTGGCGACTGTCTGTTTCTCTAGAGTCACAGATGTAGCTCAAAGTCACATTTGTTTTGGCAGAAAACACAACTGTTGCAGATTGCTCATGCTTGCAGCATAACCTATTTGTAAGGAGAAGTAGATGTATAGGTACATTTTACAACTGTTCCTAGGTTATAATTAGTTCGCATAGAATTTAAATATCTCATTTTGTGATCTCTTAGTGTCAATTGAGGGGATTTGAAATTGCTTATAATTAATTGCTCTTTATTTGTACTGATACTTTTTCTTCCACTATAGGATGGAACGACAGGAAATGGTTTTGGCTGACATGCATCTTAGACCTGGTGAACCTTGGGAATATTGCCCAAGGGAGGCCTTACGAAGGGTTTTAAAAGTTTTAAAAGATGAGTTCAACTTGGTAAGTCTGACATTTATATCTTTGATACTTCTAAATGGAAGTGCTTTAGTTTATTTTTCATATTAGATATCTGCTATCTGATTTTCTAGTGCCTGAATTCAGGTAATGGATGCAGGTTTTGAAAATGAGTTTTTTCTCTTGAAGAGTGTATCAAGGTATATGACATTTTGTCCTTCGAGCATTAAATAGGCTGTGACATTGGTTGTTAAATTGAAGTGACAAATCTTTTGCAGGGAAGGGAAAGAAGAATGGGTGCCAATTGACTCAACTCCCTACTGCTCTACAGTAGCATTCGATGCTGTTTCCCCTATACTTGATGAAATAGTTGCCTCTCTTCACTCCTTGGATATTACAGTGGAGCAGGTACTGTAAAAAACTCAAAAATTATAAACAGATTCAATTTTTGGAAGCATTTTCAGTAAAGTAATACTATGGAGGCTATATGTGGCCATTATTGGTAGTTTGACATGTCTGCTTTTCTGGTTGAAATGTTGATAAAACACTCGAAATGCCTAACCTGTTGCCCTATACTAAAAGAAATGTTTGTAGACAGGAAAAATAAGGCCCACCAAAGGAATTGAAATCATACCATAAAGTGCTTGCCAATGACTTGGTTGAATGATACTAAAGTCAAGAATCCTTGATATCATCTGATATCTAACAGTTTCAAGAATCCTCTGTATCATCTGAAGGATGTGATGCTGGACAACTTTGGATTTATGTCCACTAAAGAGATGTGGTGAGCTAGGGTTTGTTGTATGTGGAATTAGGGTTGAATCGGACTTGTTTTAGAAGTAATAGGTTAGGAATAGGGCTGTGAACAGTAGCTTGCAGCACTTCAGCAGAATATGGAAGCAAGCAAGAAGGAAAACTTGTGAAAAATAGTAGAACAAGAGAAGGAAGAAAAACTCTAGGCTCCAAGCCTTCAAAATAACTCTAGAAACTCTGTTTTATTCCTTAATTCGACTAAAATGAAAACAAGACATTGAATCAAACAGACTACTAAAACACTAATTATAAAACCAAATAAATGCATAAGAATTTAAATATCAGCAACGAAAAAGCAGTTCTAATTGTCGTTTCCAGCACATTCTATATCTATAGACCAATCTTCAATGGTTGCCTCACCAAAGCAGCTCTCACAGACTACTGGTACCTTAGTTATGCACTTTCACTGCCAAAAAATGGGGAAATGATCGCTGATGCTTATACTTTTCCATTATTGTATAATTTTTTTCTCAATTATGCATTCCATTAGACTGAGAAGAACAACAGGTTTGGTTTTCCATAGTAAATGTGCCATAATGTAGAGTCCTTAATTTTTATCGGAAGTCTTTGTTTCTCTTGTCTTTTTGTTCTCTCCCTCTCTTTCATGTCGATGTGTTTTTGCAGTTACATGCAGAAGCCGGGAAAGGTCAGTTTGAAATGGCCTTGGGACACACCACCTGCCCACACTCTGCTGACAACTTAATATATACCCGTGAAGTTATTAGGGCTATTGCAAGGAAACATGGACTGTTGGCAACATTTGTTCCAAAGTGGGTTCACTGTTCTCTTTATGTGGTAGATATTTGTTATCTTGGTCATAGTAAGAGACTGGAAAACGTACTTTCTGCTTTGGGAGTTTTGAGTATAAAAAGATGCTTACTGAATGACAAGTATTGATTTAAAAATGATCACTTCTTTTTAATATAGGAATCATCAATTTGCTTTATCTGTTCTGCTTATGCTAGTTTCATTTTGTTTTTGTTGAAGTCAAAGTATCACCATACCTTGTGCGAAACTATCTTCTATGATTTACTACAATCATTTTAGCTTGGATCCTCAGACAATTGACATTATAAGTTCAGTTGGCTATACTTTTTAAGCAATGTTCATGTCTGGTTCTGAATGTTATAGAACATAATATTCTGCTCTGCTTAATTTATTGACATTTGCTTTTTCTCTAGGTTTGCATTAGATGATATTGGTTCTGGATCCCATGTGCACCTTAGTTTGTTGAGAAATGGAGAAAATGTTTTTATGGCATCTGGAGGATTTTCCAAGCATGGGATTTCAAGCATTGGAGAGGAGTTTATGGCTGGGGTTTTACATCATCTTCCTTCAATTTTGGCCTTCACAGCACCAATTCCAAATAGGTTGTCTTTCTTTACATTTTATGTTGGTTCTTTGTTATTCTAATTCATGTATTTTCACGTTCTTTTATGGATAAATGACATGAGGGATTTTCTTGCTAAAACTTAAAACTTAAGCTTGTATTCTCCCCTAAAGTATTCCCTAACATAAGAGTACTGCATTTTGAGTTTGCCACTCAAATTTCAGTTTTAGGTCTTATATTTGAGTAGGGTTCCAAAGGAGTATCACTGAAATAGCCAAGTGCATGTGCAACTTTTCCATCTTGGATGCACAATTTGTGGGAATCTTAACTTCCTCGATGCTACTCTAGATAGGCTGTTCTTTAATATTACTTGCTGGAAATTATACCCCATCCGATTGATGGTGTCTGTAGTTATGATCGAATACAACCAAACACGTGGAGTGGAGCATACCAGTGTTGGGGAAAAGAAAACAGGGAAGCTCCATTAAGAACTGCTTGCCCACCTGGGATCATCGAGGGTTTGGTGAGCAACTTTGAAATTAAAGCTTTTGATGCATGTGCAAATCCATACTTGGGCTTGGCTGCTATAGGTGCTGCTGGCATTGATGGCCTTAGAGAGCATCTTCGCCTGCCTGAACCTATTGGTAAGTCTATTTCATCTTTGATAATTCTAGACATGGAGGATGCTTTTTGGAATTACTTTATTTATATTTTTCTTGTTTTTAGCTTAATTGACTCAAGTTATTCACGTTGCAACTAGCTGGTGAATTTTAAAGTTCAGTTTAACATTTTTAGTCAAAAGGTTGGTTTTATTTCCATAAATGTGAACAGCGCCATGGAACGTGGTCTTCATGTAGAACACTGATACCCAGTGTGCAGTAGACTGACAAGCTTTCGATGATCTGTTCCACACACCAATGATTTTTCCACTTCCTTAGCAGTTAGCACTTAGCACTTGAGCAAGTCTCTTAGAACTCAAGATCTGTATTCTTAGTCACTTCCCTTGTGGTGCTTTAATGAAGGCTTTCTGCAAAAGCAACATTTACATTGTACAATCTAGCTTGATACAAAAATTCCAGAACTGCTTTTTTTTCTTTTTTTCTTTTTGGCATAGGTTTTTTCTGCACTATTTCAACCATTCTTTTTTTTTTTTTTTTTTTCTAATCATTCCTTCAACCTTCTAACATTTCCGTTAATCCATATTGCTATTAGTTATTACCTACGCTCTCAGTTTTCCTTTTCACTTAAAATTTTATTCTCTCTTTTACCATTTGGAAAAACTGAAAAGTTGTATATTAATTGCTAAATCTAAGGCCTGGGTGAATTTCTAAATCTGCATGTGTGGTTATTTCTCTACACATTGCCTCAACATTGACTTCAGCTCAACTTTTACATCCGTGTGTGGTTAGTTTTGCAAAGTGATTTTCCTTTGCTTCTGCTCCTGTTCTTGAGAAAATTGGACTGGCATCTAACATATTCATTGATTCATTCTTGACCTTGAAACAGACACAAACCCTGCTCTCCATGCAAACCTTCATAGGTTGCCTCAATCACTTTCTGAATCTCTCGAAGCTCTTGAGAAAGACAATGTGTTGGAGGATCTTATTGGAGAAAAGCTTTTCGTTGCTATAAAAGGAGTTCGAAAGGTATGTTCAAACTGATCATTTTGAATGATGCTGGACCTAGTCACTAAGAATCCGAATAAAATATTAGAATTTCCTTTCATAACTTCTGAAGATCAATTTGGCATGGAACTCCCTGAAGCCAACTTTGCCATGCTTTATCAACTAAGTCTGAATGGGGCTCAAGCCCTTGGTCTAGCTATGGCTAATTCATACAGGTGTACTATTTTTTTCCTTAATTTAGCTGTCCGGGAAGTGTATGCTTAAAACACTTTGTAATATTACTTCACAAATAAGGATTTATCAGCTAGAATGGTATGTATCAGCACTAGATCATTACAGTGTCGTGCTTTGGTTTAACAAATAGTGATGTGAATATATTAGTATAGAAGCAAGGTAGAGAAAATAGTCTACGAGAGAGAATGAGGTATAAGAATAAGAGACAATTAGAGATTACTTGTAGAGGGGGAAAGAAAAAAACAAGAAGAAGAAATCAGTGAGGACATGCTATGGTTTGGATGGGCAATGTTGGGTTTTCTTGTTGAACTAAGGACACTGATGCAGTAATTCAGTTGCCTTAGGTTTAACGGTATCTAGAAAATAATTTTTATTTCAAATTTTTTTTAACAAATATGTAGAAATGATCCTAAAAGTTGCTTTGAATTTATAATTGATGACATAGCAAATTTCCGCTGGGAAGGATAATTCTGACTGAAGTAGTATATTGCGTTTGATATTTTCTTCAAAAACAAGATGTAAAAGAGAATGCTGCTCTGATATTTACTCAAATCTAAACGCTTTCCTGCATGAATGCAAGTTCTCATGGTTTGTATGACTTCTTCTTTGCAGGCAGAGATTGAGTATTACTCACAGAATAAGGAAGCATACAAACAATTGATACACCGGTATTAGGCAGGTCAATCTTGGCAGATTGGGGGGAAAATAATGGTTTAACAAGCTCCTGTGGAATTCTGTTCTACTTGTTTGAATTCGCACAAAAACTTTAAAATAAATGGAGACAATGGTTGAATTGAGCATTTATAATGTTTTATCAATGCTCAATGCTCCCCAAAACTTTTATAAGCTTTTTGTAGACATTCGTTAGCATGGAACATTTTGTTTTATTACGGAATAAAGTATTCGAACCATTTGCTTATAAATTTTCCTGATTATACATCATTCCCTCTCCTAGAGGTGGGATATATATATATATATATATATATATATATATATATATATGAATGTTTGTACAGAGAGCATAAATACTATTCAATCACATAACACTTTTTTGCTATTTTTGTAAGGATTAATGGCATAAAAAATCTATTTGTTCTTTTGATTTTCTTAATATAATCTCTATACTTTTTTTATTGATCATCTCTTTCTATTCTTGAATTTTTCTTAATGTGGCATATGTGATTGTTATCCGATTAATTTTCCAATTAGAATTGACATCTAACATAAATAAATAAATAAATAAAAAAAAAAAAAAAAACCTATATGGCATGACAACTCAGAATTTACTTGACACATGGTTAATAAAAAAAAAAAAACCAAAAAAATGAAAATCCTATTTTTGCAAAAAAATAAAAAATAAAAAATAAAATTCTCTCTTGCCACGATCAATCAAAAATTCAAAAGATAATTACACTATAAATATACGAATTTTTAATTTTTTTTTCAATTGAGTATATGAATTTTAATTTTTTTTGTTTGAGTACATCAATTTTTTTCAAAATTATTAATCAAATATTTTTGTCAATTTTTTCATTAACCGATGACATGTCTAGTATTCTCAAAATACCAAATTATAATTTTACCTTTTTTTCAATCAAATACATAAACTTTATTTTTTTCTGTTTGATTATATTAATTATGTCTAGTATATAAATTTTCCTGATTATGCATCATTCCGTCTCCTAGTGGTGGGATTGTCATTTCATCATTCTGGCATTCACATCTTATTCTTCGCACCTGCGTGTGTGTGTGTGTATCTGAATGTATGTGCAAATAGCATAAATACTATTCAATGACTTAACATGTTTTTGCTATTTTTGTAAGGTTTAATGGCATTGAACATCCATTTGTTATTTTGATTTTCTTAATGTAACCTCTATACTTTCTTTATCGATCATCTCTTTCTATTCTTGAATTTTTCTAAATGTAGCATCTCTCACTATTATCAGATTAATTTTCTAATTAGAATTGACATCTAACGTAAAAAAAAACACTATGTGGCATGACAACTCAGAATTTATTTGACCCGTGGTTAATTAAAAAAAACAAAAAAATGAAAACCCTATTTTTGCAAAAAAAAAAAAAAGAAAAAAAAGTATAACAAAAGTAAATTCTCTATATTCCCTCGGTTAATAAAAAATTTAAGGAATAATTACACAATAAGTATACTAATTTTTAATTTTTTCTCAAGTGAGTACATAAATTTTAATTTTTTCATTTGAGTATATCAATTTTTTTCAAAATTACCAATTAAGTATTTTTGTCAATTTTTTTGTTAATTGATGACATGTTTGGTATTCTCAAAATACCAAATTATGATTTTATCTTTTTTTTCAATTGAGTACATGAATTTTATTTTTTTCTATTTGAGTACATCAATTTTTTCAAAACTCGTCAATCAAGTATTTTCATGACTTTCTTCATAATAGATGACGTATTCGAATATGAAATTATAATTTTATCCTTTTTTGTTTAAAGAAACTTTCTCTTCGTATTATTTTGCTATTTTATAATTTGATAAATAATTAAAAATTTTATTTTTTCATCTCTAAAATTTCAAACTAAGCTCAATTAGGTTACTATTTAAAAAAAAAAAAAACCCAGTCAAGTTTAAAGTAAAAATTAAAGAAAAACACAAATAAATCTTCTCGGTGAAAAATCTCACATTAATTTGTGTTTCTTTCAATTTTCACAACCAAAACCTACCTGATTTTTCTTAACAACAAGCCTTATTAAGTTTAGTTTGAGATTTTATAGCTAAAAATAATTCTTTTAATTCTTTGTTAAATTTTAAAATAATAGAATAATTTAAGGAGAAAGTTCCTTACAACAAAAGATGAAAAATATATATATAATTTGGTATTTGAACACGTTATCAATTAATAGAGAAATTGAAGAAAGTACTTGATTGACGAGTTTAAAAAAATATTATACTCAATCTAAAAAAATTAAATTCATGTATTTTCATTGAGAAAAAAGATAAATTATAGTTTGATGTTTTGAATATAACATTTATGTCATCAGCTAATGAAAAAATAACAAAAATACTAGATTAAAAATTTTTTAAAAAAATTGATGCATTCAAAAAAAAAAAAAAAATTAAAGCTGGCTAGCCGTTATCCCACAATTCTTTCTGTGGTGTTGCTCCCTCCTATGCATGGTGGAAGATTATGACTTGTGAGAGAAAATTAAAGCGTGTGCGCAAGAATGGCCGAGAAGGAAAACGGGAATGTTACAAAAACAGTTCATGATTCTCAAAAAAGGAAAGCAAAGAGCGAATATCGTGCCTCTCCTAGCGGCCTCATCATTCGCTTATATAGATCCTTTCTTGCTCATATTTCCTTGGCCGTTTAGTTAGGCCCAACAAACTTGCAAAACCTAGCGCTATATGTACCTGTTGCCCCCCAAGGATCTAGCATTACATTTTTAACGTATCAAGAGATATAAATCATACCGTGCCAACTTGTTCTCTAGTAGTTTGTTTTGGCCAGGATACGTAATGGCATCACCTTCGAAAGCCATCATAGCAACATTGCTGCTTTTAGCCATTGCATTGCCTGACTGCCAGGCAAAATCTAGACCTTCCTTCTCGGGGAAACTTGCCATTCACCATGCAATTGGACGACAAGCCCACCACATTGAACTTCCCAAACACCATAGACCAAAGTTCCACCCAGGGCCATGGAAGAATGCTCATGCAACTTTCTATGAAGGCGGCTCAGGAACATTTGGTATTCATGCCTTCCTTTCCTTCCTTTTTTTCCCTAATCTTTTCCATCGTTTGACAAGTGATTGATGATCTTACTCATCTCCTTACAAACTCCAAATCCAACGTCCAATATAAAAAAGACCATGTCTTTTTTTTTTTTTTTTTTTTTGAGCTAAAATTTCTATAAGTTGTGAGGCTGCCTGCCAAGAGCTCCATGCATGATGAGAATGTTTTTCTATATTTTCATTAAAAATTGAGTTGGAAGAAAGCATTAAGCTCTTGTGCATCTAACGGCATTAATCGTAACTACATGTAGATTACTTTTTCTGTTCCTAGACTAACGTATAAAAAATATTTTTGTTCAGGGGGAGCATGCAATTACAAAGATGTTGCAGGCCAAGGATATGGCATGAATACAGCTGCACTGAGCAGTGTTTTGTTCCAAAATGGACAGGCCTGTGGTGCTTGTTTCGAAATCAAGTGCGCTAATAGCCCTCAATGGTGCAAGCTAGGGCAGCCATCTCTCAAAGTCACCGCAACTGACCATTGCCCACCAAACCCATCTCTACCAAACGACAATGGAGGATGGTGCAATGTCCCACTTGAGCATTTCGATATAGCGAAGCCTGTGTTCAGCCAACTTGCCGAGTACAAGGCCGGCATTATTCCAATCCAATATCGCAGGTTACATGACTTCTCGATCTGTTCCCATTTGATAATAATTTGCAATTTAGCAGGCCAACCAGCGTGCTTGGGCTGAGTTTCTTAATTAGAAAGGGTTCGATTTCCCTGCAGGATTCCATGCGAAAAGCAAGGAGGTATTAGATTCACCATAACGGGGAATCCTTGGTTCTATCAGGTCATTGTGTGGAATGTAGGGGGAGCTGGAGATGTTATTGGTGTTCAAGTGAAGGGTGATGACAAGCTCAAGTGGACACAAATGGAGCGTGATTGGGGGTCAACTTGGAAAACCAGTGCTATTTTGGTTGGAGAATCACTATCCTTCCGTGTTAGAGCAAGCGACAACAGAAGCTCGACTTCATGGCATGTTACCCCTAAAAACTGGCAATTTGGCCAGACATTCGAGGGCAAGAACTTCAAGTAGAGTGCAAGAAATTCAGAAGGGAAGATGTTTGTCTTTTGATTTTTAAGTGTGCAAACGTTGCAGGCCATGGACATACACGTCTTGCTTTATACTAACAGAATCAATAGAATTTAGTGCACATGGCAGATTTATTCATATTCAAATCCATTGTCGGGATACTGACCGCGGAAGAAAATAGCGATCCGACTGGCATCAATCGTGTATACGGCACAATAAGAAAGCTTTTATATTGCCTTTGTTACCCACAAAGTTTCCTCATCCCTTTTCTTTATACCCTTCAATTTCTCCATTTATTCCGATTTTTTATCTTCCTCTTCATTTTTTTTTCCATCATCATCATTATAGTTTTAAATAACAACCATTACGTTATGTAATAGATTCGAAGCATCTTATTATCGTTATTTTAATATTATAGTAAATCACGATCCATGATGACAATTGCAATCATTTTTTCAACTATCTACAATTTAAAACTATTTACTACGTTATTCTTCCGTCCGGTATATTAATTATCTTGTTCCTCCTTCCACAATTTTCATGCAGTTCTTGCAGCCGCCACTGAATTCTTAACCACACAGGCCAAACCTGATATATAATGCTTTCATGACTCATGAGTAACCGAATCCTGTTCAGTGTAGATACGCGATGGCAGACTCAAAAGAGA